ACGGCACCATCATATGTCAATTTACTTAAGTATTAATAAAAGTCTGGGGCAGGAGCTACACCCAAATATTAAAAAAAAAAAAAAAAAAACCTTTGATACAGGTTTGTAAGTGATTTATAAATATAGTTTAGAGTGTTTCGAGTCACTATATTATTTTGGGCAACACCAAGGTTATAAGCAGACTCTACAATGTTAATATTGGTAGTACTGAGGCTATGAGAAGGCTGAATTATATCGGTGTCGGCAAGATTAAGGGGTTGAGTAGTTAGAATGTTGGTGTTGGCAGTATTAGCTGCATTAAGGTTATGAGCGGCATTGATGTTGGTAACATTAAAGATATGAGTAGCAGTATTAAGGTTGGCAGCACTAGTGTTGGAGTCGATATGAGTAACGGTATTGAGGTTGGCGGCACTAGTGTTGGAGTCTTGGACGATAGGCATTACGGAAGTAAGAATATCAATGATGTTCTCGATTTCATGTGTTGGTTTGTTTTTAATTTCTTTCCACTCATTATTACACTCATTACACAATAACTCCTTCTTATATTTTGAATTTTTAGTAATTACTATTCAATTATACGCGTAGGCGTTACAAAACCTTTGATATAGGTTTGTAGGTGATTTATAAATATAGTTTAGAGTGTTTTGAGTCACTATATTATTTTGGGCAACACCAAGGTTATGGGCAGACTCTACGATGTTGATATCAGTAATACTGAGGCTATGAGAAGGCTGAATTATATTGGTGTCGGCAAGATTAAGGGGTTGAGTAGTTAGAATATTGGTGTTAGCAGTATTAGCTGCATTAAGGTTATGAGCAGCATTGATATTGGTAACATTAAGGATATGAGTAGTAGTATTAAGGTTAGCGGCACTAGTGTTGAAGTCAATATGAGTAACGGTATTTAGGTTGGCAGCACTAGTGTTGGAGTATTGGACGATAGGTATCACGGAAGTAAGAATGCCGATGATGTTCCCAATTTTGTGTGTCAGTTTGTTTTTAATTTCTTTCCATTCATTATTATACTCATTACACAATAACTCCTTCTTATATTTTGGATTTTTAGTAATTACTATTTGATTATACACGTAGGCATTACAAAACCTTTGATACAGATTTGTAGGTGATTTATAAATATGGTTTAGAGTGTTTGAGCTAGTTTGTATATTGGAAAAAAATGAATTAAAAAAAGGAAAAAAGAAGAGAGAGAAAAATTTATATGGATAAGATAAAAGAAAAGAAGTGGAAAATTATTATTTAATATGAAAAGGCGAATTAAAAAAAAGCAAAATATGAAAAAAAAATTTAATATGACAAGAAAAAGGTAATATAAGAAATGAAATATTATTATTTGAAGTCAATAGAAAGAGCAGCGAAATTAGGCATATTTATAGCGAATAAGCGATATACTTAACAATTGGCTATGTGCTTTTGTTAGAGATAGTTATAGCAATATCCAGTTTGTGTTTGTGCGTCTAATTCTGTACTCATTCTTTATTACAGTTCTAATTTTTAAACATTATTAACAATTACAGATAAAAGATACTTAAGAATTACGCTTAATACATCTGGAGAAAATTTTACTCCATCTTTTATTTAAGACTTTATATTTTACATAATTTCTCTTAACAGTTAACAGGCAGGATAATGCGAATTTTACATTTGATGCGATGCGTGAAGGAATTTTATCTTAATAACCCGTCTTTTATTTAATATTTAATGGATATAAGATACTGCCGATTTTTATATTCTTAAGTTGCTACGTTTATTTTAACTTAATTTTCTTAATAGTTTAATCGACGGGAATCACCAATTTTACATTCAACATGTCGGAAAAATTTATCAAGTACCACTTATTATTTTTTGTACAATTTAATTCTTAATATTCTCTTAAATTTCTTAATAGTTTAAAGAACAGAGAAATGCCGCCAATTTTCTATTAGATGTGCTCTGGAGGAATTAAAATTTTATCAATTTAATGGACAGAGATATATTTGAATAACGAGAGATACTTAACCAAAAAGGGAATAGCCACTAAGTTCCTTATACATAATTCTAGCTTTCATGTGTGTATTATTTAACTTCCTTTTAGGGTTTTGCATTATAATACGAAAATAAGTAAAATCGATATTGCCACATTGGTTTTGTTCTAGCTTTCTATGACAGGAATGACAATGTCAATACGCATCATTAAAAAAATTGAACTAATTCTGGTTTGAATTATTGTTACACAATATAGGAACAAACTAAAATTACTATTGTCTATCTAACTTTCCAAAACAGTGCTAAGAACAAAATAGGTTCATATTATTGGTTAGTCAGCGGTTAATTAATAATATCTGAGCTGTTTCTAGGTATCATCCATTTAGACTTTATCACATGATTCACGCTGTTCATAGAAATTTTAAGTAGATCACAAGATTTTTATTTAAATAGGATCTGCTTTCTGTGCTTTAGTACCTTTATTCTCTCTTCTTCATTCCTTCAGATTAATAACTAAATATTTGGTATCGGTTTATTGACAAAAGAAGAAACGATAGAGTAGAACTACTTTTAAGGATGACAAGTTACTTTATTCATTGTTATTTTCGTTACTTTTATATACAGTACTTAAACACATTGACATAAATACTAAAAATTACTAATATTTACTGTCTAGGATATTCGTGTTGGGATCATACTATGTCGGAAACCACAGCACCTTCTAGGCTTGGGTCTAGGTTCGATTTCTGTTCAAGTTTGGGCATTTAAAAAAAAATAGTTGTATAGTGAGACCTTAAATTTACCTTCTTTAACTATACAACCTCTTTAAATGTACACTCAAATTTTAGCCAAATATATATACTTGACCTCTGTATTAGAGAGGTTTGCCTCAAACTATATTTTCTGAAATTAGCACGTGACCAAAAATTGATTCGTTTGGCAGAGTATTTCAATATTTTTATTTGATGGTTTTTTTTCTTTATTAAAAAAAAACAACAGATACTATATGACTTTACAATTTTAAGTGATGTAAAATTACTTAATTAAAAAATTTTTCATTATATTAAATAAATGTCACAGCTGAAGCTGGAAATAGAGACCTTGATTTAAAAATATAAACTCTACAAAATCCACTTATACTATTTTATTATTAAAACTACCTCAAACCCTAACCTAACCCTTAAAAAAACCCCTAACAAAAATTTTTGAAAATTTCATATTAAAATAAATAATTAAAATTTCCTGCTTTAGCCGCAACAATAAATAAACATTGTGAAGAATATATTACTTGTATTTGGAGAATAATAAGAAAAGGTGTATTTGTAGAGGTCAAGTATATATTTGGCTAGAATTTATTGTACATTACTGTATCATTAATTTATTATTATATTTAGTAAAAAAAAAATTGCAGATCCAATTTCTAACTTTAGTACTTTTTTTTTAGTCATCCTCGCGACCTTAAATATTGGGGCGAAAAAAATGACTGCACTTCTGTATTCTGGATGTGTAAAATCAAGACTTTAATATGGTATATTGTTGGGGTGTCAAATATCGGTTAGTTACAAACATAATGCAAGGCACATAGTAAATAATATAAGGATTTTTATAGGTTAACAATAGTAATAGTAAAATATATAAAATTCAAACTGCATTAACTCTTGAACCCACAAATAAATTATATTTGTCGGGTTCATTTTAACGTGCCCTTTAAAGTAACAATGCTCTTTTATTGTCTTACAAAATATTCAATTTTAATGATTGATTTTTATCTTAACATA